TTTCCGTTCTCTGCCGGTATAATTTTACTCTCTCTCTCTCTCTCCGTAAATCTTTTTCATCGGGAAATTCGACGACGCGCGAGATGGAATTTATGAACTCGAATGCCGTCAGGACTTTCTTTTTCCTTAAAAAAGAAAGAAGGCAGATCCGCGAGATATACTTAACTCGGATAACGTCAGCAGAAGGTCCACGGGGAGAGGAGCCAATTACTTCATCCGTAAGTGAAGCGAAAAAGTAAACGGAAGTTCGGCAATATGACAGGCGAGGCTCATTTTCTCTCTCTCTCTCTCTACGTTGATGCATCGCGGCATTGATTTTCGAAATGAAATATCCGGTTTCCGCGTATATTCGATCTCGATCGATCATATATTTCAACTTTGTCTAACGACTGTGTTATTAGATCAACGTTCTTCATATATTCTCCTATGCAAGGAGGATACGAGATTAGTGAAATATTAAACCTTTCAACGTCGACTGCTATTTATACCATTACTGGTGATAGAAACGGAAACTATCAAAACTTCAATACACAGCATAGAATAGAAAGAGCATCGTGTTTCCTTCAATAGTTTCCTGCTTAACTCTGCTATTGTTATAGCGATGGGGAAGTTTATTATAATCATACTTATACATGATACAATTATACTCTTTTTCGATAAAAATATTTTCTCCATTCATATCAGAACCAACATGGATTATATAATATATACACAGAAGTATATTTTGATGAGATATCCGTTTTAGCATGAATCTGCTATCAACTATATAATCAAATCCGCTAATGTTTCTTTATCTCTCGTTAACTCTTTTTCTTTGCCTAAAATTCGTCTGTCAAATTTCAAATGCCGCGTTTTTACGATAAGCGTGATTATGCTTTACGGTGAGGCGCAAAAACTATATTCCATACACGGGCTTTACAAACTCACGTAATTTTCTCCGTAAAAATGGACAAGAAACGGCGCGAAAAAATTTCCCCTCTTCTTTCGCGTAATTTTGACATCACCGACTGCAATTGGGATTACGGCAAACATATTTGACGTTTGATGACCACGTGGCAATTGACAGATAAGATGAGAACAACGAATCCGGGTCTTTCTCTTGTGATTCGCGCGAGAAAAAAAGAGAGCCCCATCGACGGGCATAATTAATCACTTTTGGCATCCGATATGGAAGAGGGTGCATCGAAAATCTTTTCGGAAAGATTACTGAGATCGACGGTTATTCCCACGGCGGATACGGCGCCGTAAAATTTCACGATACCGTACCGCGAACGATATCCGGATATTCCCGTTTTCGAAGCGGCATCGCGGAATACGATGCCCTAAGGGGCCTTCGTCATGGTTACTTTTGTTCCAGATACGACCGGTGTAGGTACAGTGTATTGGGTATACGCAGGCAAATTTTCCGCCTCTCTCTCTCTCTCTCTCTCGCTTGTCATGCCTCGTCGTTCGCGTTTTCCGATATAGTCGAAACGTCAACGCGCGCGCATACATATATAACGCATACGATGAGCGCCCAACATGTACATATAGTGCATAACATGTAACGCGATGCAATTAATATATAACGAAGCAAACGCACGGGGAAAATAGACGTGTAAATTATGCGCGCTCGAAAATTATATCCAACAGTTCCGTTAATATGAGAGGAAGCAATAATTACTCATATAAAACGGTAATATATAATAGATGAATTAATATTGAATATGCATTTTTTTTCGTAAATTTGTCTTTCTTTCCAGAAAATTATTACTAAATCAAAAAATGGAAAGATTGATTAATAAATATAAGAGAGAACGATATTGTAAATTGAAAATAAAATTGCAATTTGAAAATAATTGAGCGGATTAGAAATGTCGATGATTTTAGAATATTTTACTGAAATCCATATTATGAAATTATTATACAACAGAAATGTTAGCCAAAAACGTAACAGTTTGTAAAATATAAAATTGCTGATACAATATCATAGAAGATTGTATATTCTTGGTTTGCTCTTGCTATTTTCGCTGCCATAAATAAAAAATGTCTTTTCAATCAAAATTTGGAAGCACTTTACACTACTAAAATAGATGTCACATGAATTTAATATATTATTACTGAAAAAAAACAATGATTGATGACTTCAATTATAAGTATTGCACTGAATAAAATCTTATTGAATTACGATTAATAATAGTAACTATTTCAATCAGTGATATTTTAATGCGTTTTATAATATATATATATATATATGAAGTAAATTTAATAGATAGATAGATTTTTTAAATAGATTTAATGGATAGACAGTAATAGATAGATTTCTTCATTTAGTTTTATAGTAATATATTTTGTTAAAGAAATTTCTGATAAAAAAAAAAGAAATAATTTAACCAAGAATCTTGTTCATTTTTATCTTAAAGATGAAAGATAATAACGAATAAATTTAACGACAAATTATGATATTAGTAAGCGTTATAAGCTTTTTAATGCGCGATAAAATAACAGTAGCTAATAGTGACTAAAGACATCGCGTGGTGTCGCAAGTTAAGCAGAATTCTTGAAATAAACACTCAAATTGTCGACAACAGGGACTAAGTAATATTCCTGACAGTGCTATCTAAAATGTTAATTTGTCGAATAGTCGCGCGCGAAACAGACGGAGAATCTAATTCAGCGAATACATAGCCCGAGTGCAAATTAACGACGCCGTTCAGCGTCTTATTCGGGAATAAGATTAACGAAATATTTAATGCAATCGTGCTCAATCTTCATTTAGTCGCGCATTCACAAAAACGAAATTAAGTCTTATGCAAGAATCACGTCTATTAATGTCAGAGGGAATAATTAATTTCCCCTTGACGCTTTGACATTTGAAATAAGCGATGTTCTTCAGATAACAAGAAGATCTCAACGGCGGAATTTCATAAATCTGTGTCTAAATAGCAGAATTCCCAGCTAGTACTTTCTTTCATGGTGGAATGTTTATATATCTATAAACGTCTCAACTTGTAATTTGATAACCCCGCATATTCTCTTGTACATTTTAAAGTCAACTGATTAGTGTCTATAACAGATCAATAAATAACTATCATTTCGAAATATACAATTAGATTAAAAACAAGCAGAAAACAGAAGTAATCCTAATTTAATCGTTTGTATTTCTAATCTTATCCAATAAAAAAATTTTATCAAATATAAAAATCTGTACAAGTTTTAAAAAAAGATTGATTATATTAACTTTTTATTTTGTCAAATCTATATAACATATAGTTTATTGATATAATTAAATCTATATAGTTAATCTATATAGATTTTTTTATAGTTAAACTATATATAGATCTTTTTTATTTAATTTAAAGTTAGTTATTTCATTTATTTATTTTATCGAAAGTTAATTTATTTAATCTAAAGTTATTTTATTTAATCTAAAGTTTTATTTTATTTATTCTAAAAGCTAATAAAAGTCTTTTATGTGAACTTGATTAATCGATATCTTTAATATTTAGAAATTTTAATGATTACACACATATAAGATATATTGTAATTACCTTAAAAATGACACTCGGGGATCTTTTGCTGACGTTGCAAATTCTTTCCAGTCAATTTCAGCATCGTGATATAAGAATTATTCTCGAGGAACTGACGAGGCACTCTATATAGAATCCAAATTATTCTGGACATGTTTGTCGACGACGCGCGTCCATCTGACGATGTAACTCTCTTTGAGATATATCGTGGTTTGTTTACCCGAAACTACCGTCGCAGACCGTGTTGCCAGGGGATCTGTCTCTGTCACTTCGTGTACAAAGGACTTGGGAAGAGAAAACGGTTCGCCTGGATGAAGACGATGGAATAAGGAAACTCGAGGACGGAAAAGTATAGGATAACGACAACTTGTTTCGCACGACGTATCTCGAACGACGGTGACCAGAATGACCGGTAAGGTAGAATCGGAGTAGAGGGAGGCAATCGAACTCGACCTCATCGATCGATCGATTCGCGGACCTACTTCCGTGAATCCCGGAATATCTGGCAATTTATTTCCGCTCGACGTGGAACGAGGACCGATGTGGGCTCCGAAGGGTTGCGCTGTCCTAACGATGTGATTTATCGTCACCTACGACGCTTGACAGGTCACCGTCATCGTCGGTACACAGACATTGTAGCAGGACGTCTACGTCGATTTCTAGCTTATCGCGGCAGCAACCGGCGGCGATAAGCGGCTTACGGGAAGTCTGTTGGAGAGCAAACCCCGTCGGCGGGTGTTGCTGAAATAGCGCAAACAACGAAAGTCGCGCGCGGCTTAAGAACGGCTTGTAGCGGTTGCAGCGTCACTCAGCGCGATCAGACACGCGATCTATATGTAGAGAGTGTATAGAGATTCTGGATCGGATATCGGATGCCGCGAAATCCTTATTCCATCCTCCCCATAATATGAGTTCGTGAATATTCAGGGTAGAAATTGTCTCGGTAAATCATCATTTCGGCGATATTATACTTGGATACTCAGCGATGCTATACTTTTAATAACCCGCCCGTATGCATACATATTCGACGAATCTATTTATAAACCGAGACTCGAGTTGATTCTCTTTATTACAGACGACTTGGCCATTCATATCGCGTGCGAATATTGCGGCCGTACTATGACGTTGTTAGCAAGTGCCAATTTAACCATCGTCCGACGAACCAATTCACCAACCTGTCAAACTGTCAGGCTGGCGAGCACGCGAGCAATGCGGAAAATGCCGGACAAGTGTCATATGGCTTAACGTCGAGCAACGATGAACTATTTTTAGCGATGTCGAGGAGACTCATTAACTGAAATAAGTTCGAGATAAATGAGAAATAAAATGTCAAACTCATCCGAAAGAATAATTTAATTTCTTTTTAAGACTTACCGTAATTTCAACGACGCAGACGTTGATTCGTCGCTGTCGATCTTATCGCTATGGACAATGCGACCCTCGCAATCTTCTGATTGTGTCGCGTTAATAAATGACGACCCAGGGACGATATACATATTAAACAACAAGATTTATTATCCGTATATACAAACGTTTACACACACATATCCATTTGACCATTTAATTAACCACGAAAGCACGACGAAACATCCGTAGACAAAACATATACGCTTTTCCAGACATTCGCGCGGATAGTTTCTTCTTCTTTTCTTTTTTTTTTCTTCATCTTTAACTTTTCTTATGGGGAAGGCTTCAGAACAAGAGACAGAGGGTGTAACGAAGAATCATTCAACGACGAAAATTATTGTCTCTCTCTCTCTCTGTACACGTTGATCGCGCTCGATCGATGACGTTCCAAGTTATGTATCACGTTTTTCCTTAAAACGAAGGCTAACGGCTACATATCTTATCCCTAGGTGAAAAACAAGAATAGGAATGTCGATGAGGGTGGAAGAGGAAGGTCCTTAACGATATTTATTGTCTATTTACAAGCGTCGTTAATCGCGTTCACGACGATTTGGCGAGCATCGAAGGGCCCGGACCAAATGCGGGCAGGAAATACAACGACGTCTCCGTCTCTCTCTCTCTCTCTCTCTTCGTCCTTATATACAACTCTCCTGTACACGCAAACTCCTCGTGTAGATGTCATGGGCGCGATGCACCGGCAGCGTGCTCGGCCGTACCGGACTCAAACCGCTCTCGTTCCTCACCGTGTAGCCGTTCGGGTAGATCCACGTGTCCTTGGCGTGCAGGACCGACGCCGGCGAAGGATAATCGAGATCCTCCAGACACCTGAAGGCATCCTTCGCTCGCTCAGACTTTAGTTTACCGGACGCGTAGCCCGGCTCGAAGATGTCCGGCCGTCTCTCGACGGCCTTGCTCGGTATCACGTCCGGATCGTCGTCCGGGAAGGATTCCGCCGCGTTTATCCGCTCCTTCAGCCCATCCCGGTGAGCCTGGGCGTTCGTCGCCGGCGGCGCCGTCGGCCGGTTTTCCTTACCTTCGTATTGCGATCCCTCCGTAGTCGCCGCCGTCGCCGCCGCTGTTGACGTCGCCGTCATTGTTTGGCTCTTGGTCGCCTGGGACGTATGGTTGCGGCGATACAAGGTCAACGTTATCCCGATGATCAGGATGAAAATGGCGGTAACACCGCCGGCGAAACACGCGACCAGCAGGCTGTAATCGGTCGTCTCCTCCGAGATCCCGCGGCCTGGGGACAACAAGGGTGAATTCGTAATTCGTGTGGGAACATCTCCAGCTGAGTTTCTCGAATAGGATGTTTCGATCTCGCAGCACCGCTGAATGTATTTACAATGCTACTATAAAATAGGTGAATTTATACAAAGATATACAGATTTCTCTCGTATATTTAAAATGTGAGAAAAAATTGGTGTAATCTCTTATGTATTTTTCTCTCCCTCTCTGCTATATATTTCTTCCATTCTCCATTCAGATGATGTGCTCGATATTCGGAGAAAAAGAATTTGGTTGACGCAGCGAAAACCGTTTACTGCATATTCCTTGTGAAAGTGACCAATTTCGTTCATCAATTCAATTATTCAACATTGTGATAAAATCTGCTTCGTTGATAAAATAGAAAAAATTTTATCTAATCAAATTCGTTCGCGGAAATATGGATTTGCTGCTAAAGCAAATTTAATTTGCTGCTAAAGCAAAACGGTCTATTCCTACTGAGTGCACTTTGCTATTGCGGGTAAAATAAGAATCAATTTGTAATTTAATTGTAATGAAATGTAATTTATCTATACATATATTAACGTAAATTCAGCAAAATTATTTTCAGCAAAGTGAAATTAGGATCGATAGCGGATAATTAAATAATATATAATTTAACGCGCTCCACAATTAGCAAACGTGAACGTAAACACAAAATAAAAATAAAAAAAACTTGTTATCGATTTCCACGAGTTTAATGCAGTTATTGTAGTACTCGCGAACTTATTTATCCGATGCTCGCGAGTATTATTGATCGCGTGAACGTCAAGTTAGTTTTAGACCATCGACAGTGTGCGCACGTCACAATTCGATAATTAAGCGGCAATCAGCCACATCGGATTAGTGCGTAACGATGGGAACGCACCGCCGCGCCGACGTTTTCTTTTTCTGTATTCCGAAGAATCGATTTCCATTAAACGACAAATTTCGTATCGGCAATTTGCGTCGCGAGAGACGTATTTTACCTAGCGCACGGTGCATTACGGTCCTTTAACGTTACGTGCAGCGAAAATCCATACAATGCAAAGTAATCGCGCACGGTGCAAGAGATGAAATCGATATAATGCTGATAAGCTCAATCTTTAAAATTGCGAAAAGGATGGCAAAATAAATTGAAAAATTTGTGGAATTGGAAAAATGTACTTTGCACGCAGATTACGCTTTCGTTTTCTGCTGCCAATATCCGTATAATGTTGAAATACACCGATATTCCTGTTTTAAAGAGTTTCTCTTTAAAAAAAAAAAAAAGGTATCGCTAGAGGGGCAACATCTAATTTCCTACTGATTGTACATAGTATACTCATCGCAAGATTAATAGCTGACCGTTGCGCGTAGAACGTGTAATTTCCTAGGGTGTATATTCGTGTATTCTTGGCCGGCAAAGAACATTCGTCCTCATCAGGATAGACATTCGAACTGATGACGACATCAACAGCAGCGTCCGGTAGCGGTATTCGTCCCGACGTGTCCGGTAAACGAGATTCGCTTTTTCCGTGTACTTATTGGATCACGGAGGAAACGCAGGCAGCTTCCGGAAGCAAAGATTAAGAGGCAGGCAGAGAGGATCGGGTTCGCGGACGGAGATGGCCAGGCTCTTTGGAATTCAGAAAACGCCTCGGTTCGTTAGCCAACGAAAGGTCTCTCTCTCTCACGATCGCGTGCATGTGCATGTGTGTGTGTGTGCGCGCACACATACATATACGTAAACCTCGTGAGACACGACGGTATACAGCCAAGAACAGAGACGAGCGCACAAACACAGTTGTGTCCGTCATCCGAAAATGCTGAAGAACACTCCTTTCCTTCCCGACGCGAGCGTTTTGTCATCACTGTTAAGAGAGAATGTTTGCCACCCCTCGTGGGAACAGCTCGAAGGAGATTGGCAGGGTTTCGAGAACGTTTGACAGGCTTCGTTCAAACGATTCCCGATACGCGACAGTGGTAGTGGCTCATGCACAGTCAGGATTCCTGGGGAGCTGTCACCACGATCGGGGATAACATTCATCTACACGTGCATGCGTGCGTGCGTACGATAGACACAGGTAGTCGTGCACACACATGTGTTACCACCCAGCGGATTCGTGCGCGAGTCGGTATGAATAAACCATGAGGATGGAAATTAAAGACGATAAATGCAGCTGGAATGAGGCAGCGCCGAGAAAAGGGACTTGGGCTTTATGGGATTTTAATTCAAGGTCTGCGGATAGAAACGAGATACATGGAGATGAAGGAGGAGGCAAAGGGGGAATACGCTGGCTGCGTTTTCTCGAGAACGGCGACAGATTCGTGTAATTGCATCGAGAACCTTCGACGGAAGTTGTTGATTAGTAACGTCGACGAGTAACCCGGCATCGATCTCCCGTTGCTATACGGATTAATATTTGATCGGGATTCGCTGTGTCACACACGTGTGTCCTCGACGACAGAAATGTCGCAGCAAACCTCGATTCCAACGACTGGAATCCGAAATGGATTTACTCGGCAAAATCTGAAAGTCTATCGTTGGAATCGGAAATAACTCAAGTAACGTTTATCGAAAATTTTGCAAATGTTTTAGCGGCGTTATTAATCGCGAAAGTGACATGCATTATTATTATTATCGCTAATATGTTATAATCCCGAATAGTATATGATAAAATAAATGTTACAATGAGAAAATTATTTTAAAAACTGTAATAAAATATAATCAGCAAATTTTAATGCCGTTCTCATGCGACAACTCTTTAAAAATAAAAATTAAGAGAAGAAGCGAGCAAGCAAAACGTTTAAAATAAAACAGCGGTAATTGAAGAAAAATCTCTGAGGATAAGAAATATGAGAAAGATATGTTGAAGTAAGAAGCAATTTTTTTCTTGCGCGAGCATTTCGAAACTGGTTTTGAAATATCCGTATAATTGCGACAAAAATAAACAGAGAGGAGTGCTCACAAACGATGTGCATAATTAACTCCATCGTGCAATTCGATTCAAATTAAAACTCAGTCGAACATCTTTCGAAATTCTTTTCATGATATATAGTCGTTAGCGGTTATTAACCCATCTCATTATTATTTCGCCTCTGATGTTAAGATTACGTAATGAAAGTACGAAGGTTAATCACGGCGGGCAAACACTCTCTATCGACGTAATATAATCTATACATACATTAAGGCCAATAATAATAACCCGAAATTACCCGGTAGAAAGATAGCTCGGAAGATATTCGTAGAATAAACTCGAGAGACAAATCATAATCTCTAGCGACCTAATTCAAAGAGTAAAATTTGTCGATAAAAGTTTATTTCTCTACCATTCGGTGAACGTCTCTCTCTCTCTCTCTCTCTCTCTCTCTCTCTCTCTCTCTCTCTCTCTCTCTCTCTCTCTCTCTCTCTCTCTCTCTCTCTCTTTGGTAAAGATACACGTATATAACATTTGATGTAAAATTTACTGCTCTGCGAGATCGCGACTCCGAATTACGCTCCGGTTATAATTGTATCATTTCAAGAGGAATTTTAAAAGGCGATAAAACTCACCAGTGGTGTACATCGCTACTCCTTTGAGGGTAACCGGTTCCAGGACGACGGCATCGCTCCGACCCTTGGCATTGACGGCATAAAGATTGAGCCTGTAATTCCGTCCCGGTTCTAAACCGGGAACTTCGAAAACTGGGCCGGATGAGCCGGATCTATCGGTGTGATTCAGGTAGATGGTATTGGCAGGATAAACGTTCTCCTCGCTGTAGACCTCCAGCTCGTAATTAGTCAAGGGCAAACCACCGTCGAATCCCTCGGAACACCTGACGATCAGCCAGTCCGCGTCCCTCGAGTCGGTGGCTTTAAAGTCTTCGTGACCTGTTTTACACGGACGCACACATTTCGAGATTAAGCTCTCTGCTTCCCGAAGGAAGAAAAACACACGGAATCACTAGACCTAATTGCTTCCCGACGCGAACATCGTCGCGCCAAAGCACGCTCGATGGCGTCGATTAAAGACGGTCAACCCGAGAATTAATTGGATAATAATCTCAGTTAGACTTGCGTCAAACCGAATATATAATGCATACCGGCAAATCGTAATTAATGCCGATCAAAGGAATTGCATTTCTAACTAGCTATAAATTCTCCAGTTCGCTAATACGATCGTAAATCTGAACGAATCTCAGAGGCGACTTTTAAAATGAGTTTTATTCGAGTCGCGCATTTTGTTTGTTAAAAAACAATCAAACTATAATCAAACTCAAAAAATAAATAAAATAATTTTTACTATATTAGAAGAAAAAAAAGTATCATTTTTGAAAAATCTTTAATAATCATAATTTCCTTATAGAATACCGCGTCGATTATTCAAAATAATTTAGAAGGAAATGTTTATATTAACACCGATAATCGATACCGAGAGACCAATTTCACGAGCGTTTTCACGGCGATTGCGTCCTTCGAAGGGAGACAAGGGAACAAGCTGTTGAACGCAACAAGGGTATAAGGCATCATCCACGATGATAGCCGAGCGTAATGGCGCAGTTAGCAGGTCGTTGCGAGGGTTCCGGGACCCTCCCAGGCTCACTTACCCATTCGATGCGCGTAGGGTCCGGTCGACTGTAGAGCCGTGCAGTTTTGCAAGGGGTAAGGCTTCCCGGCGACGATGATCTGAAAGAGACAGGGCGTTCTCTGCTCCCCTATCCGATTTTTCGCCCAGCAGGCGACCGTGCCGTAGTCCATGTCGTTCTGCGGTGTGTAATTCAGTCTGGAGCCGTGCCAGGAGTTCGTGATCAGACTGAGCGGTTTGACCTGGGCGAATCTGGTGGCCGGTACGCTCATCAGCTCCCCGGAGTTGTTGAACGTCCAGTGGAAGGTCGTGGGCGGCGGTTTCGACTGTACGCCGCAGACTAGCGAGATCGTTTCGTGCTTCAGGGCGCCGACCACTTGGGTGGAAGAGCCGTCCTTGCAGATCGGTGCGTCTGAAAATACGAGGGCGCCGGCTGGTAGATTCAATTCACCTTGGGGCACACGCGGGCGTCGTCGTGGCAAAAATAAGGGCGGGTAAATTCGCGATTTTCATTCCTCACGCGGCGAACATCGATTATCGATGCGCTTTCTCTATATAAAAACGCCATTTATCAGCGCCATCGAATAACGACAATGTCGCGCGATATATGAAGGTGAATTTATTAATAAAATTAGAATTAAAGACACTTTGACGAATACGAGCGGAATATACTCACACATCACCTCGAGGGTCACCGATCTGCTGATGGACTTTCCTTCGACGTTGACTGCCATGCAAGAATATTCTCCGGCGGAGGCTCTCTTCACGTTCTGCAATACTAAAGATTGTTCGCCGGGAAGAATAATCCCCGCGGTAGTGTTCTGATGCAACTCCTTGTTATCTTTGAACCAAAGTAGCTTGTAAGCCTTCGGATTGGCTCGTACGTCGCACTCAAAGTAGACGTCGTCACCCTCGTTTATATCGTTTGCTTTCAAACTAGAACCCAACTTAATGCTCACCACCGGCACGTCTAAAAGCATCCGAAAGTGGCATCTTTCATCTCTCATTTCTTTCAACTTCATACATACGATTATTAATATATTCATTATATTCATAATTATATTCATTAATCAAATGAAAATTATTAATTAATAAAAGATACAAGATAACAAGATTGAAAATAGTAATTGAGTTAAACTTTCTATTTTAACGTAAACTTTCAATTTCACTTTAAAACTTTAATAAAAAGTCTTTCTAATTATAATTTACGGTGAAAGCGCTTGAAATAAGTATTCGAGAGATTATTACTTACAATACACTATCAGAAGCCACTTATCCTCCAAGGCACTGTTAGGTACCACGGGATTTTCCGCTCTGCACGTCAGAAACTTTCCATCGTCCTCGATGGTCGGCACGTAGCTCAGCACACTTCTCGTGATGTTCGGATTATCTGCGAACTACGAAGAACTCAGAATCCACGCCGTCGCGGCAAATGTCATCGCTTTCTGTACGTCAAACGCAATAGTCGTCCGTTTGCGAAAGATATACTCACATTTCTAGCCATGTGTTTGACTTGATGGGCCCCTTTCCACCAAGTGATCACCGCCTCCGGTCTAGAACCCCAACTGACACATTCGATCTCGTAGGTTCTTAAAGCCGACAAATGCGATCGCTTATTCGTAATATTGACTATCAGCGGTTTCACTAAAAAAAAAAAACGAATCATTTTATAGTGCACAATTTGATATAAAATATTCATCACTATAGTCTATTTTCTTAATCCTGTTAAATTTATAAATACATTATCGAGTCATTAATTTTGTTGTATAATAAAGGTAAATGATAAAATTAGCATTGCAAAAATTAATTAACTGCGATCGGAATAATAGCAATCGATTACAGATTTTTTCCAATATTTTCTCTGACAGGATTAATTTAATATAAAAAAGATATATATATATATATATATATAAGAGAAGCTCAAAATAAAAATTAATAGTTCTTTTGCAATTATTCTAGACGATTTCCAATTAATACAAATACTCACGATTTACATCCAAAATGATCTCAGAAGTCACAGGCGGTATAAGTTGAGTATTGCTCGCCTTGCAAATTAGCCTCGATCTCAGAAAATTCCTGGTAACCTTTCGTATATTCAGTTGATTTATCGTTATGTCCTCGTGTTTCTGTATATATGAGTCGTCTAGAACTTTGCCTTCAAAATGCCACGTAACCTTTGGCGGAGGCGACCCTCCGATCACTTCGCACAATAAAGATATCTCGCTTCCTTCATTAAATGGCTGCGGTACTTTAGGCAGAGTCCTCCTGTCGTCGGTAAATATCATCGGCTTGTCCGGTGGCACTGCGTCAGCAAAATTGAATTTCGATCATAGAAATTCGTTTCTATGATATCGCCGTGCGCGATATCGCTTTATACGCGCTATCTCCCGTCCGCTTTATCATGAGATTGATTACATTCGTTATATAAATTTATACTATGGTAAAATAATACAATAATTATATATATTTTATATATAAACGCACACTCGTATTATTATTCGAACTGATTTAAAACTATATCTGATATTCTATGTATCCGAGCGATATTGAAGCTTCAGTACATCGCAAAATCGTTGCGGCAAATAGCGATTCTCAATAAAATTAAGAGATTTAATACATAATAGCCAATTCTTTGATTTCTTTTTTTCCACGAGCGCGCCGGTAGATGAGATTAACACCTGTTGAATCAGTACTATGACATTCAATTAATTGATTCGAAATCGTATTAGATTGCCGACTGTGTGAAACACGTTATGATCTTATGATTAAACGCATGATACTGTTTGTTTGTGCAGTTCGCTGGAACCGATCCAACCGCATCTTTCGACTTCGTAACTTTGTTTCATCTCATAGTTTTATTTCCATGTGACTTTCCCGTATCCGCAACGCGATAGCTTGAGATTGACAAATCAAACTATCTCTCCGATTTATTACCGCGTTCTTCGCGGTTATGCACTCGCGTAAATATTATAAGGAAATATATATAATCTAGAAAAAGAATATAATATCAAATGAATAAATCACGAGTGGAAATGGAAAAGTAGCTCGTCCATATGCGCCGCTCAATTAAAATCTCATAAAGCAATCTGTCCGCCAACGTCGCTCGATAAGCTGCGATTTCGCATCGCAAAATGCGACATTCTGCCACAATAACAAATAATTGGAAAAGTAATGACTAATTAATCCCATGAGAGCTTTTGAGATCTCGATTCATATGTATTCCTATATTTTGTGCTTATAATTTATTTTGCTACTTTAATTATTAATTATTCTCTACTCGGCAAAAATTTTTAAAAACAAGTAAATAATAAATATTGCATAAAAAATACATATTATATCGCAATCTATCTTTCAATAAATTATAATCATCGTATTTAATTTTTACATTTAATTATTTATCTTATCAAATTTTAATATTATAAAATAATATTAAAATAATTTTATTTAATTTTATTTATATATTTTTGTCTACTGCAAACAAAAAATTATAAATTTTTTTACAAAAAAAATCATTTATTTTTTTTTATTATAGATATAAATTTAATTCAAATAATCTAAATATTTATTGAAAATGTAAAATAATTTCAAAAATCATTCAGCGAAAAAAATTCTCTTAGGATTAACAGGCGTACAAATATAGATTTCCGCAGCTGAAACTCACCTATGACTGTAAGATTAATCTTTTGATTCTTCGTCGGACTATCCTTGAAATCCACTCTGCATCTATACACTCCACCATCCGTGGACTCCAATGGATTTATTTGCAGTTTAGCGAGCTTTATATCCATCTTCATAACTGCCCTTGCACCGAGCACATACGGATCCGACCAAAGCTTCGGCTGAGCTATCTGTTGTTTGGCTCGAGCGTCCATTATGTATATCGGCCCGTCGTCCCTTTCATCTTTGTACCAAAATACCATGATGACCGTCTCGCCTTTAATCGGTGGATCGATGTTACAAGGTATCTGAACTTTGTGACCGGCCACCGCGATAACGTTTAATATCGGCACTGCAAAATACAGGAAAACGACAGAGTTATCCTTATAAAAGATTAAGATTTTCTTAGAATGATCTTGAGATTCGCGCTCTATATTTTGGCGATAAAGTTGTCTCTAGAAATTTTTTACACTCTATATAATAATTCCCCCATAAATGAATTGTTCAATGATGTAAATTCCCAACAGTGGTTAAAAGCAATCGCAATGCATCGCAGACACCCTACACGATAATCCTCCAACGGAATGCGCGTATTTTTAAAACAGCAACGTGATCCCGCCGCGTCTCTGCGGTAGCCCAGGCAGGACCTCCGTCTGATAACAACACGATCGTATGTTTTCTCGGCGAGACCGCAAATTTGGAGTTTTAGTAGTCGCCAATGGCGCCGATCGAGTTACTGCAAATTGCTCGAACTGTCCGAGCTGACCGAACCTGGTGCAGAGCAGAGCGTATATGTAGACACATACACACGCGCACGTACAAAAACGTGCGCCGGCTGCACGCGTGCATACGCGTGGTCGAGCGCATAGAGAGACAAAAGTTGGCGCGCGATACGCGAACGGACCGCATACAATACCGGGTAAACCCAATTAATCGGTCGATTTATACCGGCGCTCTCTGTGCGGTCGACGCCGTCAATCGTCGGGCGCGATTTTATTGGCTCTCATAGTCGTCTCATCAATCGTGTCGGCGCCTAACATCCGCCTGGCCGACCGCGACGATCTCGTTATCCTCATCCTCTTTGACCTTAGACATAACGAGTGCCGGGAGAATTAGCCTCGAAACGGCGAGCATCGTCGGCCGCCGGAGATTAATTGAGCGCGAGCGCGAGCGCGGCCGACATGTATCGGCTTTTTCTACTGTCAGAGTCAACGTCGGGCGCGACGAGCGAGGAAAAACGTCCACTTGGCTTAGCTGCCGCATAATTTGAAGTTTATCGAGGGAGGTTTAAATTTCATCCGACGATCGCGTATAAAACAGATCAGTAAAAAAATTTTATTATACAAAAATATTTTAATTAATCACTAATCGATATACGGTTATATGATTCAAGTGTCATTAGCAACTCTTGCGCGATTATTTCTCGATACAGTATTCAAAGATGTGTCGGATCGGAGCATAGATATTCTTTCTCCGAGATTATTCTTGATATATTCCTCCAGAATAAAATCTGGAACGGATTTCTAAAAAATTATTAGAGGCATTAGAGCGCAATCGATTATTCTCTCATGTAATAGTGACCCGAATTCCGAGCGCATCCAAATTCCGGATGCAGCTAGATGGCACAAGCTCTGAGATTCATCACGGACGATGGCAGTGTTAATGATACGGTGTAATTAATGCCAGGTGATGAATGGACGTACGCATGGAGCAACTCGTTAACAACGAGACACAACGAGCACGTGGCTCCGCTTTCGCACCTTTGCCCTCCTCTAATACGTGACTCTGAATATTCACATGACGGAAGCGCGAGCGTATCAACGCGTGCAACGCGACTAAAGTTATTACACAACGAGCTCAAAGTGTGCGAAACAATTATTACGTTATCATGAGTGAAAAAAAATATGTTTTACGTAAACATTTGCGGCAAAAATAAACTAGGATAAGTCTCACGCAACGCAACTCGGTATTATTACACGTGATATCATAATTTTCCAGCTAACCCGAAATTTTCAACTGCAACTGCGACCGAGCGTCGGATTTACAAAAATTATTGTGTCAGTAAAGTGGCACGTTCAATATTTAGAAATCGTATTTCGCCGACGTTAATGGCCGCGCGAACATAATCAGTCGCGAACGCGCCAATTAAGCGTCACGGAAGAGAGGGAGAGAGTCGCGTTAATAACGTAATTAAAACGTTAATCGTCCCGGCGAGTCCTATTATCTCGTTAAATCCTCTCGTGAATCCCGCAAATTGATGACTTAGACAATGAACCATCGATAGACTCGGCATGTATATACGGACATATGGACGACGCTTACGTATTCCGTATGCGTGCCCGTATATACATATACGTCATGGGGGTTGTAGTCGTGCTCTTGCACGCGCGTCGAATCACGTTTACTTGAGAGAGCGTGGCAAATATCCGTTTCTCGGGTAACGCGAAACACATACGTATCCGCCGATCCCGGAGTAATTATTCAAAGCAAACACGAGCACCGTCGTGGATCGGTAATACATCGCATTACCCGTACCGTGTATACACGGAAACCGGGTGCATACGGATTTAAACATGCTGCTGAGGAGCGGATGCGAAGTAGCGAACTCCCGGATTGGCGAACGGATCGACATTGTTGGTAATTCCTTCTCGATAACACGGCTCCATAACTCAATAAATTATACGATCCTCTCGCGCGTTATTGTCTTTGGCGCACGTCGTTGCGAGAAAAAAATGTAATTTCTTACATACAAAATGACGTATGAAAGAAAAGATAGCGATCAGGTATTGTTTACATGATATATCAAATCATTTTTATTTTTCATTTTATGAGTTTGAAAGGTATTATGATGGAATAATGTTTTTTTTCGTTTTGCCGACTGTTTTCTAACATGCAAATTCAATTTCTACCGTAGCCACTCACCAATTTGGAAGTGCGAGCCTTGTAATTTGATCAAAGCCTGTAAACATTGCGGGTGCGCAAATGTAAAAGCGACTTCTTCCCTGTAGATTCAAGCGTCACTGGCAAACCGACGATTTCGCAAACATACAGAAAGTAGAATCTAGAATCCAGCACCCCGGGAAGCGACAACAAGAAAGTAGGTGGATAGCGATTCGAGGATGTACCGGCACGAGTCCCGGAAATTGTATTTCGCATATTTTCATACATTCGCGCTGAATATGAGAGAATGTAGAGCAACCGAATAGAATAGAATTTCCTACGTACAATACGTAAAATTTCGAGCGTCGTATTTCGGAGCGTCGATAAAAATAGGATAAAAGGAGGACGAACGTCTTACATTCGATAAGAGTTTCGAGAATCGCCAGAAGGCTAAGACCATTAATCTTCAACCAACAATCGCGTATCCTTTGCGTATCCATAAAGGACAGATGATCGGTTTCTTTCGCGCACGAATATCGCGTCGTCGTGCAAACACAAAGTGCAACTTTCTTGCCAAGATAAAGAATGCGTTGGGAAAACTTTGACAAAATGCTCTTTAGGTACTTTCTCAACCGCCGGCGAGAAGGGGAAAAGATCGGAAACAGGACATTGAACGAATATTCTCTTTTTCGATTGCAAGAATCGTCGGTTACCACCTTTCTTTTTCCCGAGTATACCATCAACTTGACCTAGTTTCAGTAGTATAAACAGTGTGCAAGTACGACATGCAAACTTTAATACAAAGAGCAAAATATGTAAGCGTTTCAGTCTATTTCTGGACAGTATATTACGCGAATCCTGATTATATAAAACTAATCGAACGTGTCAGGCCTTAAGATGACATTTATCTCATTTTCGCGAAATAATCTCGATTTTCTTTTCTGACAGAACAAATGATCAAACTGTCAGAGTTTTGAGCTCTCACAAATAGATTTCCCGAGCGATAATCTCATTTGTCGTGGCAATTAAATGTCTCCCCGAGGATATAAATAATTTCATGTACACTTCTTTATTCGCAACCTCGAATCGGAAAGACGAATTCACGTCGTTCCAATGAACAATAATAATTGATCTCATTAGGAAGAATATAAATTTCGCTTGTCCGTAGTGATTATTATCCCCGCCAGCCTGTTTAACTTCGTAACGGCAGTAACTCGTTCGAAGCTGCGCGTGTAAACACCGGCGATGTGCAAACGTGGTACCGGCTCCTTTACCGCCGCGTCCGGGAAAACGGCGTCACGCCGCCTCCAAAACCGCCGACTGAACAAACACGCGCCGGTATGACGAAGAAGGCAAACCAAGCTACGAAGATGAGAGAGAGAGAGAGAGGCATAGGCGGATGTACATACAGGGAAAACAGAGTAGGTAAACCAGAATCAGGTCTGGGGTGGGAAAATTAGACGGAAGTAAATGAAGCGATAGAAAGGTAGCGGGCATATGAAAGTAGGACGAATAGGCGCGTATCAGTGATGCGAGAGAACCAATTTGTGGTAAATTATGTAACAAGTCCGACGCGCGCGCGCGGATATGGCGAACGCGGAAACCAACAGCGGTTTGTGTACCTTTAGCCACTAGCCTCGATGTTTATCGTGTGCTTGTTACAATGATGATTACGGTAACGGGAAAACGCAACAAACATAAGGTGTAAATGTGTGAACGACAAAATTTGTTATATGATTGTTGCACGTTATCGGGATACAAAAAATGATAAAGAAAGTAGACTCTTAGGACTCCTCTTGTAATCATTTGTTCTCTTTCTTAATAAACACTGGAATTTATTTGCATATTTAATATAAAATAATAAAAATGAAAAAATTAAAGGAGAACAAAAAAAAGAAATTAAAAAATTTTAATTATGCCCTTCTCTTCCTGTACAAAATTCTGCAGACATCCATGTTCTTAGAGAAAAACGCACGTTCAAATCCAGTCGGATTTAATCGAGAGGAGGAAAAGCGATACTGCATTTCGATAGCTCAAACTGTGTTCGCAAGAACGAGAAATTCTTGAAATTGGGGCACACGTTGCGTAATTTGGTCCTATCAGAATTCCTAGCATTTTGCGCAACACTTCAATAAAGTCCCCGGCCGCACGAGCCCACGTTTGTCGGCCAATAAAATCAAATTGCATCCGGAGAACGCAAAATCCGAACGTAAGGTATTCCGGAATACCTTAGCTTGATTATGCCACCGTTTTGTAAGTTCCAAGAATACGATCTGAAATTGAAAAGGAAATGAAAATTTGCATCTTGTATATTTTCTTTTATCGAGAGGAGAACCAGACGGTTCTCTTTAATTCAAAGTTTAATTTTATGGCAGGAATTAATTCACGTTTGTAAAAATATAACGAGATGATATAATGTATTCCATTATTCTTCCCCGCTTCGACCTCGATGTTTAATGCTTCGCACGCCGT